TCCTGCTGATTCACTATGTATCAGGAAGCCAAGTGTAACATGTTAAGAGCCATCTTGTTAGTATTTGGTATTCAGTGCTAACAACTCACTAGCTCACAGGAGTTTCTGTTTTAAAAGGGGAGGGAGAAAAAGATAGTGGATAATTTTCATTAAGCATCCAGATATTTGTTTTTTTTGCAATCTGTCACCCTTCACTGGCTTTTTAGTTTATAACTTTCATAACATATGGGGAGCATAAGAGCTAAAAAAAGCCGCACCACGTGGAGAGAAGCTGGAGCCAGAGTCCTTCAGGATCAACTGGAGCAAAGCTGGAGAAGGACCTTTCCTCAGCAGAAATAGATCTACAATGGGACTTTGTTATACTGGAAGGAGCTGAAAAGAATAGGCATGGTACTATAAGTATCCAGCTATATAGCTGTCCATTATTTCTTAGCTTCCAGCTCACAGCTTGATTCAGACTTGAGAAGCATCACCACAAATACACAAGCCATGAGACACCATTCAGTTACCAGACCGGCCCCCTGTAATAAGCTGCTCATTGCAGGATTTACCAGCGTCAGGGAGCAAACTGACATGCTGCTGTAAAACAGACTTTCTATACCTAGCAACACATATATGAGCTCACTTCCTTAACAAAGTGGTTCTGAAGTAACCAGAAATAACTTAATGCAAAGTTCCTCCATAATAATTACAGTTCAGTAACTTTATGTAGTATAAATATATATATAGCCAAAGCTATTCCAAACACATTACTGTATTTTAATTGCACCATCAATGTATTTTTTGCAAAACTGCTATTTGAACATCACTTAAAAGGCGCAACATCACATGTGACAGAATAATGTACCTAGAATAATAAAATGAATGTGAGTGGAGGTGCTGAAGTGGTAAGCGTATGTAAACTTAAACTCAGGCACAATAGCAGATACTGAGTGTTAACAGGAAATTCAAAATTGTGAACATACTAGAAAGCAAAATCTGTTGGGCACAATAACAATAAATGTGATTGTCAAGCAAGCATAGAGGGACCCATTACTAAACTAACTGCAGCACTTTAAATAATGATATGAGGAAGAATTCTTGTAAACCTTATTTACAGCATTTCTGCAAGTTATCTGGCCCAGCCAATAAAAATCTGAATTCTATAACATAAAACTAGACCAAGATGAGATGCTGTTAGGCAAAGTAACACCAGTGAGTAACGAGGAAACACAGCAACAGGTGATTAAAAAAAAAAAAAAAAAAAGGCAGTAAAAACAGCTTCACAGAGCAGATCCAGGAACTCTGTTCCACCAGCTGCTTATACTTACACATACTAAATAAGCAGCATCAAAGAGAAGAACAGCAGATTCACGTGATATCCTGCCTCTTTGACAACAGTCATTATCTGTCATAAATGTTGCCTCATTTGCTTCCGATCTTGAACGAAGCAGCTCACAGCTTGTTGCTCCAGAGTCTGCACATACTTCTGAGATAATCTACTGAGTTGTTTTGGTTTTTTTTTCTCCTCTATGTACCTATGCAGGAATTGCCTTTGGAAGCCTGTCAATGTCAGGGAGCACAGCATAGCAAAACAATAGCCATTACTGTTGCTTTTTACAAGTCTCCTTCAGTTCCAACAAAAAGCA